ATGTATTAACAGAATGTTGAGTGAAAAAAGCCATTTGCTGAAACATATGTACAGTATGATGCTATTTATAAAGTTTCAAAACATGAAAAACATGTTGTTTATGGATACGCACATATGTAGTAAAAGTCTACGACATGCATGGGAATGCTGAACATGTAACTCAGGATTGTGGTTTCCACCAGCAACAGGGAGGGAAATGGGATCAGAGAGGGACAAAAATGGGACTTTAATTATATTTTAAGATTTTTTTGTTTTTTAATCTTTTTCTTATTATTATCTTTTCTTTATTATTTATTGCAGGGGTTGGCAAACTACCACTTATGGGCCAATTCTGATGTGCTATTTTTATGTGGCCTCTGAGATAAAAATGATTTTTTACATTTTTAAATTGTTAAAAAAGTGAAAGAAGAATATTTCATGACATGTGAAAATTACATAGTTCAAATTCAATGTGGATAAAGTTCTATTAAAACACAACCATGGCCGGGCGTGGTGGCTCACGCCTGTAATCCTAGCTCTCTGGGAGGCCGAGGCAAGATCGTTTGATTTTAGGAGTTCGAAACCAACCTGAGCAAGAGCGAGACCCCTGTCTCTACTATAAATAGAAAGAAATTAATTGGCCAACTAATATATATAGAAAAAATTAGCCAGGCATGGTGGCGTATGCCTGTAGTCCCAGCTACTTGGGAGGCTGAGGCAGAAGGATCGCTTGAGCCCAGGAGTTCGAGGTTGCTATGAGCTAGGCTGATGCCAGGGCACTCACTCTAGCCTGAGCAACAAAGCAAGACTCTGTCTCAAAAAAACCACAAGAAAACAACAAAAACAAAAACAAACAAAAAAACCCACAACCATGCTAGTTTATTTGTTATACATATTGTCTATGGTTGCTTTCACACTACAACGGCAGAGTTAACTAGCTACAACAGAGACTCTGTGGCAAAGCCTAAAATATTTACAATCCAGCCTTTTATAGAAAAAGTTTGCTAACCTCTGGTTTACTGTGTGACATATATTTTAAAATATTAAAAATATGGTAATATTAAAGAAAAATTCCAGAAGTAAAAAGATGTATAATTCTACCGTCTACCAAAATTTGCTTAATTTTTTCATGTTTTCTTCTAGTCTTTGACAAAACTCATATATTTTTATTGAAATCAGGCAAAGGCATTTTGCAGTCTACTTTTTCCCTGCTGTACATCATTTCTACACCTTTTTGATGTGCTATGTAGCATTCAAATTTGCCGTCGTTAATGGTACAATAGGTTTCAAGTTTACAGACCACACATTATAATTTGTGTGCCTTGTTTAAACCTTTATATTCTTTCTATTTCCCCCTATTTATTATTGGTTACAAAGCAAAGAACATCTTTGTATGTACAGAGCTTCCCCCCCCCTTTTGACTTATATTCTTAGAATAAATTCCTAGGAATACCTAATCTTCCCTTCACCGTCCTGAGTCTTACCACTTTTTCTTCCTCTTTCTACCCCAATAACCTCTTGCTTCTTTAGTCTTTTCTTATCCGTTTGACTTTTTGCATATCCCCTTGCCTTCTCTAATGTAAGTGATCTCTGTCATTTGGCTCTTACTAGTGGCTGTTTAGGTACTAAAAGAGCTCTCTTGCCCTTAAGTCCCAGCTTGACCTCACCACCTCTTAGGTGGTGCAACATTGCGCAATGCACTGTGAGCGCTGTTTCTTGCTCTAATTTTTAACCCTCCCTTTCTCTCCTCACTGTGTCTACTTCCTTCACTCCACTCCTTTGCTGAGGTTAAAGTTTGTTAGTGATCTCTCTGTAAGTCCAAAGGCTTTTTTCTCTATTTTTATCTTCTCATTGGAGTCCCTGCTCTGAAATGACCTCCCTGCTGTTCTTCAGGCCTTTCCCTTTCCTCTCCTGCCTCTACTCACATCTTATCTCTTTCATGGAATTTTCTCAGTGGGTCGGGATGTGCCCAGCTCTTTTCAGTCCACATTCAACCCAGGCATATCTCATTCCTTTAACTCAACTTTGCCCCATTCTAAATTGTTTTACTCCCCTTTGAATGGAGATGAAGGAGGGAAAAGTAAACACTTGCAGGCAGACAACACTGAGAGTCCTCTACTTACAGCTTCGAAATAATCAAACCCTTGAGGTGAGTTCAAGGATCACAGGCCATACTACGGGCTAGTCACAGAAGATCTACAAAGTGAGGTCCATGGATTAGCAGCATCAGGGTCACTTGGGAGCTTGCTAGAAATGCTAAATTGTAGGCTCCACCTAAGACCTACTGAATCAGAATCTAGGCTTTAACATAACCCCCAGTGATTCGCGTGTGTAGTGAATTATAAGCAGCACTGGTTCAGCAGACCACTGAGCGCCTGCCATGAAAACCCTCCATCAAAAGGGCTCCAAGGACCCCTTGGGAACATCAATACTATGATTTTTCATCTCTAGCTGGGCAAAGTTGGGTGTAAAGGTGATCTGGCTGTTGTAGCTATCACCCCCCCCCTTGATGGTAGCTGACCAGTTGATATCTGGGTAGGTGGGTGGCCTCTCTTTGCTTTATTCTAGTGCAGGTACATTCCTCTGAAGCTGCAAAAGATTTTGAAGAAGACTCTCTCAAGAGATGAAGAGTGGTCTTCAATCAAGAGACAGACAAGCTTACAGAATCTTTGGTAGAGTGCACACATCCTTTAGGGGTTAGGAAACATTGTTTCCATACACTTTCCTAACAAACAACGTTTACAAACAACATAGAACCAAAAAGACAAGAAATGTTTATATTCTTCATTCTCTCACTTTTTATTTATTTGTTTATTAATATTTATGTATTAATAAATAAATATTTATTAAGCACCTGCCACATGCCAAACACTATTCTAGGGATACAGCAGGTAACGAAACAGACAAAGTCCTAGCTTTAGTACAGTTTACATTCTAGGGAATGGAGATGGACAGCAAACAAACACATAATACATCTTATAGTGATAGTGCTTTAAAGAAAAATAGAGTGGTGGAGCCCGTTATTTAGGATGGGTGTTTAGGGAAGGCTTCTCCAAGGTGAAGACATTTGGGAATATACACGAATGAAATGAGGGAGCAAGCCATCTAGATTATTTGGGGGAAGAGAATTCCAAGCAGAGGAAACAGCTAATGCAAAGGCCCTGAGGTAGGAACATGTTTGGCAGGTTCAAAGAATAGTAAAAGAACCAGTGAGTGTGGTTGGAGCAGATTAATCAAGGAAGAGAGCAAAATGAGATGGGATTGGAGAGGTGAGTGGAACCAAATCATGTAGGGTGTATAAGGAGCTTAGATTTTATGCCAAGTGCGAAGGGAATCGTTACAAGGTTTTGAGCAGAGGTGTGACATGATACAATCTACAATTTAAAAGGCTCTCTCTGGCTGCTTTGTGGGGAATGGACTCTCAGGGGGCAAGAGTGGAAGCAGGGATGCCTAATAACAGGTTGCTGTAAGGGTGTGTGTGGTTGGTTTAGATTAGGGTGGTCTTGGTGATGGGTGGGGAGAAGGGGTCCAACAATCTCAATGCTCCTATCAAATAATACTTAAAAAGTTATCACCAGCCTACTAAAGTGAATTTTTAAAATCTTGGATGGGAAACTGGCTTAGTGGTAGAAAACTAAGGTAGGAATAATAGGGCTTCTCTGGGTTGAGCAATGTAAACAGCATCCCCTGGGAATCAGTGTTATTTAACATTTCATAAGTGATGAAGAGAAAGGAATACTTTGAGACATTTCTAGGTACACAAATTATACTTTGCTTTCCACATAGTAAAATGTCAAGTCAATACGGAGCATCTTCTGGAACATTTCTAAAGCTATGTAAGTAAACTGAAAAGTGTCTTGCCACCTGGACCAGTATAAAGCAGCTCACATAGGGGAAGACAATTGAGATGACATCTTTAAGACAATGAACTCTGAATGTAAACTGCTGTTTGTCACCTAGGTGAGGAATCTATAGAAGTTGTTGTAGACTCTTTCGAGACATCAGCTCTTCTAAAATCTAAAAGGCCTGCAAAAGTTTTGGCTGTCTGGAATAAAGGCAAAACATCAGCCTCAACAAAACCTCATAACACACCTCTTAGGGCTCAGTGTGCAGTGCTAGTCATTGCATCTAAGAAAAAGAAGAGCCAGAGTAAGGCAGGTAAAATGATTAAAAGGACAGAGGGCTTTTGTTTGATGGGTTAAATGCCCATAAAGAAGATAACATGAAAGACTGTAAAAGCTCGAGAGACTTAGAGAGAGTAAAACAGCCCTTTCATACAATCCCATAATTCTAAAATTAGAGGAAAAAGAAGCTTGAAAATTAGGGTAAAATCTATGTGGAAAGAGGTCATTGGAGGACGTATAAAAGAAGGTCCTTCTTTACATAGGGGGTCCTTAAGTATTCTCCAACATGTAGAAGAACGTGGTAGCAATAAATGAGGTGGGGAAGGGGAGGACAATCAGCCCACCTCAGCAGTCCTTTGTTGGGACAAAAACTTCTCTAGATGATGCTTGCTTTCCCTCTCTCCCCAAATCACTGTGTAATATAACCACAGAGACTCAAAAAGAGCAAAAACCACCAACAAGACATTCAAAAGATTCACAATGCAATTCAAAAGATCAATGCTAATATTAAAAGTGATTCTGAGTGAAAAGTAGATTGAAAATAAATTCAAGGGTGAAAGATTTATAATCGATTAATAAGGGAAATTAATAATGTTTTTGGGGGGCAGGTACATCCTTAATCTTTGTGGTCACACCATGGGGATATACTATGTCCTCAAAAGAAACAGCACTTGGTAATCTGCACTGTGTGGAGAAAATAAGAACCTTTCCTTAAGACTATCCTTAACCCGGCCTTGTGGTGGACCTTTCCTGAACCCAGCATCTGGCTTCTCACAGCCAGAAAGTGAGAGTTATGAATTGAAACAAGGATTAGATCACTTGAATTTCAGCCACAGCACAAGTCCTTCAATAGTTTCATGTAACAGCACAGGGAGACTTGGATGAACCGTTACTCACCGTTACTCTAACAGTTGGCAACTCTGGGCTATCGGATCTCTACCGATCTTCCTTCCCGGGAACACAAATCGAGATCTAAGTGGAACAAGGAAAGGGAAGATAAATAACCAGACCGTCACTGAGCTGAGAAATGTTAAAAGCAGGCCACCACCAACGCAAGGGCCCTTACTTTTAGGTCAAATATTTATGTATATATTTATATAGAGAGATATATGTATAAATATAGAAATAAAAATGCACATTATGCTCTCTCCATCCAAAAAATATTACACTGAGGGACTTCATTCCCCACAAAGAAAACAACCCTCTTTCCTCTTTCCTATGGGTCCCTTTCTTTACCTGCTTCTCCGCTCCTGGGGGTAGGAACTTTGAGCCCCGCCTCCCTGCTCGCCCAGGCTCCGCCTTCCCGATCCACCTGTGTGCCCAGCCGCTGACGCTGCCGCTTGGCTTCAGCGGCCCGCAGGATTCCGGCCCCCGATTGGCCGCCCGTCCGCGGCTTGCGCAGCCCACCAATGGCAGCGGCGCTGGGTGGGAGGGTGCCCACATCCAAGATGGCGCCCCCAGGAGCTGGGAGCGGGTGACCGGCGGCGGGGAAGCGGCCTGGGTTGGCCCTCAGATTGAGGGGTCCTGGGGGCATCTCGCCGGGCACCCCCCTGGCCCGCCTACGAGGCCTTCCCCGGGCCAAAGCGATGGCCGCCGAGAACAGCAAGCAGTTTTGGAAGAGGAGCGCTAAGCTGCCGGGGAGGTGAGCCTAGGACGCTGAGAGGGAGAGGGGATTGGACCAAACCCTTCCCGATCCTGATCCCTAAATCCCCGGGCCTGGGGCGCCACCAAGGCCAGAAGACCGGCTTGGGGAACCCCGGCTGGGGCAGCGGGGGCTGCCTGGTGGCGTCAGGGTAGCTGTCACGCAGAGGGGCGGGCAGAGAGCTTTGGGGACGGCTGGGTGTGGGTGCAGATCGGGGTCTGGGGGCGGGGGTCTCAGGAGGGGTGACCTCCAGCTGCGAGGTGGCTGAAGACCGGGCGTGGGGGGCAGTGGAGTTGGGTGAGTAGCCAGTGTCTGTCCTGGGCTCGGAGAGCCGTCCCCAGGGCTGCTTCCCACTTTAAACAGAACTCCCTCTCGGGGGTCTCCACCACGCACAGGTGGTTGCGTGCACGAGACGGCCCCTCTCTTTGCTCCCCTAGCTCGGCTCGTTCCCAAAGGGTTCTAGTGGGAGTTTGGGGCCGCCTGCCGAGGGGGTCGGGCAGGAAAAGTGAGGACAGTTCTCAAGCCCGACCTTAGTTTATCTTGAGTTGGCCCTTTCCCATTAGGAATTATTACAAGGTGACCACAGAATCGGGTTTATTCCTTTGGCATTTTCTAAGGATTTGTACAACCCCAAGTGACCCCCTCCTCCGCGTTGTAATGCTCTTACACTAAATTCTTTCATTCTTCAGTTGTTTAGTTGGAGAGCAGACCTTCTAAGCTACTTTCTGCACCCCCCACCCCGCTTCGGTGTATGTTGAATTATCAATTATTATTGGCAATTATCCATCCATCAATCAGCTATTGGTTTACAGTTTCAATTTGTTTGGGGCAGAGTCCCGAGAAGTATGAGGAGTGTGTGTTTCAGGTGTGAATTTAAGATTTCTGCCAGCCACGGTCTACGTGGTGATGAAATTCATGTTTGGTGGTGCCCCACATGCTACCTTTTCTAATTGATTCAGCTCTTTTCCTTCTAGGATAATCCTTTGAACTTGTGACCCCTCTTTTTTTTTTCAAAGCCAGAGAGAAAAGAGGGTCAGTAGTGGCTATTAAGGATCCTATTAGACATATGGAGAAAAGGTTGGGAGGGGAATAAATCAACCTAATGGATACTATGAACACTATTTGGGTGAGAGGCACACCTATAGCGAGGACTTAAGCATTACAAAAATGATCCATGTAACCTAAAACATTTGTACCCCATTAATATTTTGAAATAAAAATAAAATTTAAATCACAGAATAAATTATATAACATATGCCAAGAACTATGTGTGTTCTCGTCATGTGAATTTTCCTGGGATAAATACAAAGTTGATCATGATACTTCCAAAACAAAACCCCCAAAACAAAAAAATCCAAATGCTTGTGAAATAAAGTTTGTGTGTGATAAGTCTCCTGTTTGTAAAATCTATAGTATTCGTTCCAGAGGTCAGTAAAAGGTGTTTCTTCATTGACTTTTTCTTTGCTATGTAAATTGCATGTTACTGAACAGTTTAAGAAGTCTAAAGTATTTTTCTCTTTTCATCTTTATTGTTAACTAAAATTAGAATTTAACAAAGTTTGAAATATTGAAAACTCTGCTTTTCAATTGCATTGTGATAATGTATAAGCTGTTGCTTTTTTCTAACATTTGATCGAGTAGAAAATAAAATCGTGAAATAAAATGCGAATATAAAAGAAAAAAACAGGATAGGAATCAGCTTTTAGTAATACATATTAAAATAATACAAGAGAATGCAAAGATAGCTTCAGATTAAAGTGCTGTGGAATTACATTGTTAATATTAGTGTTAAAGATGTTCTATGTTTTTAGATAAGCACCACTTCCTGCCAACTGATCTCCTTTTTCCTTCCTGGTCTAGTGAGCTCTCCAGTTGTGCTAACTGCTGTTCTCTGGGGTTTTCCATAGTGAGATCATTAAATTTTGACATCCTGAGATTATAATCAGAATCAATAGGAAAATCATATCAGGAAGTAATTAATTTAAAAGATGTGAGACATGGTATGGTCTTTTGCTTTCTGACTGGTGGTTGCTATTAACAATCTTTTGTTTTCTATATTTCCTCTTTTGGACTACAGAAATAGCTTTTTAAAAGCATTACTTTTGTGAGATATGAACAGAAGTCTTTTTAGTTTCTTAAAAGTTTTTGGCTTCCTTTTTCATATAGAGGGATAGAGAAAATAACTTTTTTTTTTTTTTTTTTTTTTTTTTACTCCTGGGCTCAAGTGATCCCCCTCCTGAGTAGCTGGGACTACAGGCACAGGCCACAGTGTCACAATGTCCAGCTAATTTTTCTATTCTTAGTAGAGACAGGTCTCGCTCTCTCTGGCTGGTCTTGAACTCCAGAGCTTACTCCCCCCCCCCAACCTCAGCCTCCTAGAGTGTTAGGATTACAGATGTGAGCCACTGCCCCTGTCGAGAAAAGAACTTTTGAGTTCAGAAAAACTTGGGTTAATATTTGGGCTCTCTTACCTAGGTAACCACGACAAATAATTGACTTAATTGCTTTAGGCCTCAGTTTCCTTATCTATGAAATGAGAAATCTTTTCACAGAGCTACTGTGAGGACTAGAGGAAATATATTTGTAAAGAACCTAGTACAGTATTTAGCACAAATACTAAATTGTGCTAATAGTTGCTTAAAAAATGGTACTTATTAATTTTTCTGTTATTATTAGAGCAAGTAAACATTTACAAGAATGTTTCTCAGATCCTTACTACAGCACTAGTTATATATCTTCATTGTTTATTCTTAAGGGATTAAAATGTTGCCACAATTCATAGTAGCTTTTTTGTTTTGTTTTTTGAGACAAGGTCTTGCTCTCCATCACTGTGGCTAGAGTGCAGTGGCGTCATCAGAGCTCACTGTAACCTCAGACTCCTGGTCTCAAACGATCCTCCTGCCTCAGCCTCTGTGGTAGCTGGGACTGCGGGTCCACGCCTAGCTTTTTTTCCTATTTTTTGTAGACAGAAGATCTCACTCTTGCTCAGGCTGCCATAATCTTTTTTAGTACCTTGCTTGTTAAGGAGAATACTGTTCAGCGGTGTGCTTTTAGCAGGGAAGGCCCCAGGAGCCCCTGGTTATGGGAGAAAACTAAGATTCTTTTAGATAGAAGGGTACTTTGATTTAAGGAAAATGTCAGAGCATTTTCTCAAGAATAGAACTTTTTTTTTACCTTTTTTTTTTTTATTTCAGCATATTATGGGGGTACAAATGTTAAGGCATATTGCACATGCCCTCCTCTCACCTGCCCGACACCCGATAAATGTTATTCCTATATGTCCACTTAAGTGTTGATCTGTTAATACCAATTTGCTGGTGAGTACATGTGGCATGTGTTTTCCATTCTTGAGATACTTCACTTAGTAGAATGGGTTCCAGCTCTATCCAGGAAAATACAAGGGGTGCTATCACCATTGTAAGAATAGAACTTTTGCATCTATATTTTCTTAAGTCTTAGAGAAGAAAACTTTTTCCTAAGTGGAGAAATGGCACAAATGACTGTACTAGGTTCTTGGAAACTTGGAATTGAAACTAGTTTATTCTTTTTTGCAAATTGAAAGTTTAAAAAATCAAAGCGATGGCAGGTTACTTTCAATTTCTTTGATCATGACTCAGTGAGCTTAGTGACAACAAATAGGAATTTTATTAAATAAAATAGCCTAAATTCAAAGTGAATGAAACATTCTTCTTTAAAATAACAGCTTTATCGAGATATAATTCACATACTATAAAATTCACCCTTTTGAAGTGGACAATTCAATGGGATTTAGTATATTCATCTACAGTTTAGATGTTTTATGCAGTCATCACCACAAATTTCAGAACATTTTCAATATTCTAGAAAGAAACTCTGTATCCATTAGAGTACATTAGCAGTCACTTCCCATTCCCCTCCCTCTAGACCCTAGTAACTATGATTCTACTTTCTGTTCCTATGGATTTACCTGTTCTGGACATTTCATGCCAATGGAGTAATATGATATGAGGCCTTTTGTGACTGGCTTCTTTTACTAAGCATGATTTCAGGTTCATCCATGTTGTGTTATGTATCAGTGCTATTCCATTTTATGACAGTAATATTTCATCATGTCCGTTCATCAGCTGATGGCATTTGGGGTTGTTTTTTACTTTTTGGCTACTATGATGTTTCTATGAACATTCATACACAGGTTTTTGTGTGGACATGTTTTCTATTCTTTTGTGTATAAGTAGAAGTGGAATTGCTGGTTCATATGGTACCTTGATGGAATTAAACATGTTTTTAAGTTCTCTCAATTATTCACAAGAGCCCCATGTACTTAATACATCAAATGGTGATTGTGTTGATGCTTAGGAAGATAAGAGGCAATCTGTACCCTTGTGGTTAAAAATTCAGGCTCTGGAACCTGACTGCCTGGGTTACAATCCCACCCCTTCCACTTGCTAGCTGTGTGACCTTGTGGAAGTTAATTAACCATTCTGTGCCTCAGTCTTCTCATCTGTAAAATGGGAACATAGTATCTACCCTATACAACTATTAATATTATGAGACTTAAAGGAGCTAATGCATACCAAATGGTTAGGAGGTACTCAATAATATTAGTTATTGTAAGAATAATTACTATTATAGTAGCTCCAATTTTTGTTTTCTCCCCTTGCTTTAGTTTCTGAAACTGGAATTGAAAAACTTTCACCAATGGTGTGTT